GTGCTCTCAATAGCGGAAGTAAAAATGCGTGGTGGATACTCTTGTTCTCACTAATTTTTTTCATCATACCCTGCTTCGCCTGGAGCTAAGCGAAGTGATGTCCTCCCACCAAGAAAGCAGCATGTCCCTAGCTACCAAAGTAATCCATACTCACTACTGCCCCTTATAATGCACATTAACCCACCAAGGCTGGTAGCATCCCACAGAGATTAGTGACAATTGCCATTTTAAGGGGAAACCATGGACTTTGGCAGAGATTAGAAGCTTTTGCCGTCTTCCTCCAAGAGGGATATGAAGTGCATCACTCTGGAGGAGAAACAAGCCTCATCCTTTGCAGTTGCTGAGCCACCATGCAGTGGTGCAATTTCACCATGCAGTGAAATTACTGCATTTTGGGAAGGCAGCTGAGATTTCTGCAGGAAACAGCAAGGTCTCAGCATGAATGTGGGCTGTGGTTTCCCCTGCGTGGACAGTCAGCCGTTGCTGCTCTGTGGTGGTGTGTCAGACCTCACATAAGCAACATCAGCTACCAACCTGACCCTTCAAATAAGAGTGACTGATTGTTTCTTTTTCCTCCCAATAACTATTCATTCAGTTCATACAAAGTCTTGGAATTTGAGTGTAAAACTTAATGAATCCTGCAAAATTTGAGTTAGATTTGCCCTTCGACATCGGATTCCTTACCTAGTTGTTTCTTTTGTACAAAAGAGCTGACCACCAAAGCTAAAAGAAATGCCCTTTACAAGGGAACGAAACTGCAATTCACAAGATGTTGGAAAAGCTTCAGGGAGCAATGAATGAGGCTGCTGGCTCATATATACAGCGAGTGAAAATGCTCTTCAATTATGCTCCTATTAATTACCTGAAAAACCACTTAGAAACCACTCTGTCCTTCTGCTCATTTCTGGGAAACAGCTTATGTTTGCTAAGACAGAAAGAAAAAAAAAAATCTCTTAGAAAATCTCTTAGTTACTAGAAAACCTAGATTTTTTTTTCATCTTTACTCTTGTCAATTTAGATCATAGTGCTTGTGTGACATGATTTCAGTGCTCAGGCTAAGGTAGACTAGCAGAGTGTGAGCACAGCTGCATTTATCTTCCATACAAGGCCTTGGAACTAATGTTAAATTGATACCAGGTCAGGTTTAGGAAAGAAACATCATTAGTTAATGAAAGAGCAATTAAGTAGGATCTGGATAAAAGAGTCTTATGCCTTCTTTATTTGGAGAAGAGGGAGAACTGGGAAGAACAGCGTACAGCTCCTTCAGTAAGACAAGAGATTTGTGCTATCTAAGTGCCTGGGGTAAACTGTTTGTAAGTGTACTTGTGACTAATGAGCCTAAACCCTGTTTTCAAAAGTGACTAAGTCCAGACCTGAAAAATAAGTTGGTCCAAGCCTATATGAGTTCTGCAAAATCAGAACTCAGCTGCTCCCCCCCACAAAGGATAACTTGTCCTCTCATGGTCTGTATATAAAACAGGACTCTCCTTCTTTCACTTTTACAAGAAAACACACGGTTCTACTTAAAATGCATACAGCATTTTTGCCCTGTCTGCAACACCTTGGCAATCTGCTGTCTCCATATCGTCTGTCATGCTTTTTATCCATTTCTTGGCACAAGTTTTTTGAAGGGATGTGTTGGGGGGTAGCCCTTATCATTTTTCATCTCAGTCAGGTAAAAGGAAAAACTGTCGTTTCTGTGCAGGCGGATTCTGAACTGCGTCGGTGAAGGCAGCGCACAGCCATATTTTGTGTGCGCTCCCTGCCTGAAACAGTAGCATTTTCGGCGTTTCAGCCTGCTCCACAGTTACCTAACAATTATCTAACACGGACATCAGCTAAATGTAAACGTTACAGAGCGTTAGTAGACTCAAGCCCTGGTTCAAACCCTCTTGAAACCAGTGAAAAAATGATTGATTTTAGGGGGCTTTGGTCAGGGTAGGAGCAAGAGTCCGGATTTTCCCATTTGTCATTCAGGCTCCTTCCTGGAAAACCAAACGAACGACAGCCACAGTGACTACTAACATGTGCAAAGAAGCTTAAACAAGACCCCTCCTATTCAGTCCTCCCCGATGGTAACACACCCCACTCCATGTGTATCTTTTAAAAAAAACAAAAAAATCCCCTCCGCGTGTCTGTTCAGAGCCCCAGCAAGGGGCAGAGGTACAGCCACCCTGCGGGCTGTGGGCGCAGAAAGCCGGGGCTGCTGCCTACCTCCCCTGCACACGCACGGCGGGCTCCGGGGTCTCCTCTCGCATCTCTGCAGCCACCCAGAAATCAAGCTGTCCCCATCCAGCGCCGCATCGAAGCACCTGCATATCTCCCTTTGTGGTAAATAGGATTTAAGCCCCGTTTATTGCCATTGCTCGCTCACGGCCCCATGAATTTACCTGAGGCCCTCGGGGGTCTGTTGTGGCACAAAAGTACAGCCGTAAAGAGGAGAAGCAGGGCCCCTGGTTTTGTGTGCGTTTCTACAGTTTTGTGCACCTCTCGCCGGCACTCTGTAGCGTCCACGTTTTGAAAGCCTAGCCCGTACGGCCTGCTTACCTCCTGCCTTTCAGGAGAGAATAAAAGCCGGAGCAGAAAGCTGGGGCGCTCAGCCCCGTGGGGAGGAGAGCACAGCGCGCTGCAGTCTCGTCACGGAAGCAGGTGTCAGAACACATCGCGGTGCACAACCGCCTAGGCAAACAGACAGGACGGTAAACAAGAAAAAAAGTAAGGGAGAAAGCAGAAACCAGAGTCTCTTAATATTTTTTGATCTGCTGTCACTTTATTACCAGTATCAGGAGACATATGTAAATTCTGTATGTTACATATGAGCTTCCTTTTGCATTTCAGAACTAAACGTACACATTGTAGGAAAGAAAAACCCGTACTAGGGTTGTATACTTCCTTGTATAGGAAGATAATGCCATATGTTTTGTCTCTCTTCACGTTAATTACCTAATAAAGAAAAATTATCTCTGGAGCTTGTTACTAGAAGTAGAACAACCCACACTGTGTATTTGGCATGTCTAGCAAGTTCCTTCTAATAATACCACCGATGCATTTTAGGAAAGCTCTTTGATTTAATTGAAACCATTATAAACAGCATGAATATGAAATATAAAAACCGAAAAACAGAGACGGCTGGGCCACTCTAGTTTTTAAGCCTGTGTGGCTTTTTCGGGTCACTAATGAGCTGCCAGTGATTTGAGGTGTCTTAGTGTCCGAGTGCACAACCGTAATATCCTCGGAGGGGAAGGCTGAATCTTTTTCTAAAAATTGTCTCTACAAACTGACCCAGCAGTCAAGGCACCATTACCTCCTGGCGCTCACGCTAGGTGAAACCCAGGACAACAGAATGCACTCTCAGCATTCGCCCTCCTTTGATTAGCGACCTCACACCCTCCTGACTTGGACTTGCCAATTATTGCAGGACACTATCTGAATAGTAATGCACCAGATTGTCTACATCGATTTTAGATCTGCTTAGAAAATGCCCCGTCTGCAAAGGGACCTGCGTAGCGCAGTTGCCAGCTATGGCGGGAGACGCACATTTCTCGCTGTAGTGGATCAATACGAGCAAAGGCTTCCCAGTAAGGACTGTCTTTTTTGTGTGTGGGTGGGTGGGTGTGTCTGTCTGTCTGTCTGTCTGTCTGTCTGTCTGTCTGTGTCTGTGTGTGTGTTACACCAGCCCAACGGGGCCTGGGTGTGTAACGTGGGCTCCTGGGCGGCAGGATGCACAAAAGCAATGCTGTTATTAAACGCCCACTCTTGTCCTTCTTGCTGTCGTTGGGAGCTTTACCACCGAAGGCATCAGGTCGAGCTCTGGTAAATAGCCAGGTTAGAAAGCAGTTCACTAAATTGGGAAAACCACTGCCATCAAAAGTAAAATGAGAAAACATCAGCTATAACATCTGGCCATTTCTCCATGAGAAACGGGCACCGCTCGCTGTGCCTGTCACACAGGAAGACGGCACCCAGGAGAGATCATGCCGTTAACGGCACCGTATCAGCAAATCGGGCCAGATGGCGGTTTTCTCCTCTCTGTGCACTTGGCCCCAGGGGTCCCCTGCCCTCCCAAAGTCCCAGGGTGCTTCCCTGCCGAGATGTCGCTGGGGTCGAGCCTCTGCCTCCCGCAGCCTGGAGCATCCCCGGCCCCGCTTGCCTCCCTCCCACTCACCTGCCCCCCTCGGTTTTTGGGGCAAGCCTGGTTTTCCGCAATGATACGCTGCATTTTATCTCCCCTTCTTCAAAGAATCCTCTCCATAAATATAACAATATTAACTTTGTTCCTCGATAGTCCATTCAGGAACTACTGAGTTTACCCCCTTTTGCTTTTACAACGCATTCTTCTCTCCTCTTCTGCCTGTTTATTTTTCCTCCGTCCTTTCACTTCCTCCTTTCGGCTTCCCTTTCGATTGCTTCTTAGCCCATTAGTGACCCAATTTTGAAAGCTGGCTTGAAGCAGTATTTTGAATTTGTTTCAGGGATTTTATAGTCCATGTTGATGAATGGACTGAAGCATACAGAATTTCAAATGATTCCACTTAGCTGTCAGGAAACTAAACCCAAACATCTGAGATAGGCTTGTTAAAACGTCTTCCGCAGAAATGTGAAAAGTCTCATTGTCCTTAATACTTGACGAGCGAAAAGGCTGTGCTAGCTGGTAACATGAGTCCTAGACTTTATAAACTGTAATTTGCTCACCTTGTGCACATCCCACTCCGCTAAAGCCATCCCAGAAACGTTGTATGGTTCAGAGTCAGCTCATGAATTCTTCAGTGTCGCTCCCTGCGTGACGACAACATGAGTTACCCCCTCTTACTTCACGCTTTGGCAGAAATGTCCCGTACGCAGAGGCGTCCAATTGTGGCGGTTGGCCACAATAATGCCAGGCCTCCTAGGAGAAAGCACCAAAGATTTAACATCTCAAACGAGAAGCGAATACAGCCACAGCTGCTTTGTCCCTACCACATTAACCACCCATTCACAGCCTTGGCTCTAAAAAAAACTGCCTAGAAAGGCAGAATCAGTGAGACTTCCAGCAAAAGCCAAGGGTTGCCTTTTGAGAATTTGCCTTGTAATCTCCACGTTAGCACCTGAGGAGGCATCTGAAATGATTATTATCTGTCTTGTTTTTCTTCTTATCTCCCCTTCAGGCATTGTCCGTGCCTCCAGCGTGTTCCCCATCCTAAGCACAATATTACTGTTGCTGGGAGGACTTTGTGTCGGAGCAGGAAGGATTTACAATAGCAAAAACAACATTATTCTCAGCGCTGGGATTCTTTTTGTTGCAGCAGGTATGTTCTCCCTGAAATTGGGTCCTTAAGAAGCGCTGCCTTTCTAAATTGAAAATGCAAAAGTGCAGCCGAGGCTTGGCAGAGAAGCAATTCCTCCAGCAGCAAGGCTACCCTAAATTATCTATCTGGGCCACGGTAAGGCCAGGCTTTCTGTAAGTACTTAGTGGCAACTGGCGCTCTGAGCCCATTGGAGAGGCAGGGAAGAAAGGCATGCTACGTCATGTCCCAGGCCATTTTTTCTATTTCTTGAATTACCTTCCCACAAGTTTAAATTCCTTCAGTGCATTTTTATTGCAGGTAGGCATCATTGAATCCTGTAAACAGCTTTACACCGTTCATATGTTTATGGCGCCGATATGTTTATACCTAAAGGAGGAAAGCCTGTTTGCCTTGCTCGCTCCTCATGAAAGCAAGCACAAAGCAAGCAAGTCATATTTAGTGTTCAGACCTGACACAAAGGCTCAAGGACTTATGTTTCCCATTGAAGAGCTTGTTGGCATTTCTCTCCCTATACTCTAACCTAGATTGAGGACACTAGCAATGCCACGTTAGGCAAATTTCTTAAAAGAAAAGTATGTTTTCACAGCTATAAAACAAATACATTTTAGAAAAGCTTTTCACTTTCCTGGAAATAAAATTTCAGGAAGCTAAGGTAGGTAACATGTAGTTTTTACACTACTTTAAAGGTATTAAAAACTGCATGAGGTGCCTCTTACATCCAGGCCTTTTTTTTTCTTCCTATATGATGGGAGAAAAAATTCACCTGTGATACGTGAGAATGTTTTTCACACTAGAAACATCTCAGAGAGTCAGTCACGTTGTTAATATCTTTCCCTGAAGCCCAGATTAAGCATGCTGCATTTAGATGAAAATTCAGCGAAGTGAAAGCGAACTTATGTTGATCAAGGTGAACAGCCATAGCCCTGAGCTCAAAATGTGCTTTTATTATTATTCCGAATGTTAGAATCCCACTAACAATTTTAGCGAGTTCCCCTTTGCATCTTCTTTCCCACCATGGAAATCTTTAGCTAAAAGAAAGAATAAATACACGGAATGACATATCTTGGTCATAATTTTAGAACCATTCAGGTCCAGAAAGTGACAGGGTTTGAATTTTGCCTTCCCAGCCACATAACAATTGATTTTTGTTCCTTTCTCCAGGACTAAGTAATATCATAGGGATCATTGTCTACATATCAAGCAATGCAGGTGACCCAAGTGACAAGCGAGATGAGGACAAAAAGAACCATTACAACTATGGTTGGTCTTTTTATTTTGGAGCCTTGTCTTTCATTGTGGCTGAAACCATAGGCGTTCTGGCTGTGAACATTTATATTGAGAAGAACAAAGAGCTGCGGTTTAAGACCAAGAGGGAATTCCTTAAGACTTCTTCCAGTTCTCCTTATGCCAGGATGCCAAGTTATAGATACAGGAGGCGGAGGTCCAGATCCAGTTCTCGATCTACAGAGCCTTCCCCATCTAGAGACATTTCTCCGGTTGGCATGAAGATAGCAAGTACCATTCCCATGAACGAAATTTCCATGTACACTCTTTCCAGAGAGCCCTTGAAGGTTACAACTGCTGCCAGCTACAACGCAGACCAAGAAGCCAGCTTTCTGCAGGTTCATAACTTCCTTCAGAAGGAATTTAAGGAAGGACTCCACGTCAACATGGTCAACAGGAGAACGACGCCTGTTTGAAATACCTTGTTTCCTTGTGCTTTTTGAAGAAATATCAAAATAGAATGGATCTTTCATGAAAGAGAAGGAGCAATGTTAAAATACCCTATCACCTCTCTAATTGTGGCATGTGTTGAAGTAACAAGTGGAGATCCTCTGGACCAACAAAAGATATTACATGCTCATAGCTTTTTTGAAGCTATTTGGAGTTTGTTTCTTTCAGTTCTTGGTGTCACGAGATGAAGGCAGTTCATGTTCCTGCACTTTTGTAGTGTGTACAATGTCTCAGTGAAACTGCGAAAGACTTACCACCAGTGTGTTTTAAAGGATTACAGAAGAATTGCTGTATGCCTTTTTTTTTCTAAAAATGAGATCCCATCCTATAAACTTGCGAATATAATTTATAACCAAGCCCAAGGATGAATATGAACTACTCCTCAAGTGATCCACTTTCCTTTGATACAGGAGAAGCTTTGCCTCTTTAAAAAAAAAGTAAAAGAAAAGAAAAATATGGCTGAAACTGGCCTGTGCTACTGAAACTGTAGGGCACCCATGTACTGAGTGTTACAGGACTCCCTGATGGGGCAGTCTTCAGGGGGTCTTCTACTTCTGCTCTTAGGCATAGCCATGTGCAGCGGGTGTAAGGCATCCCTCCAGGCAATGCAGATGAAGGGGAGGAAGAGGGTGGGTGCATCTGAAAACACCTAGAAGGGGAAGGGTGAAAGTAGGTGGGACTTGAGCATATTGCAAATATCATTTCTTGCCTAACATTTAGAAAACTTGAATTCTCATTACGACTAGCCCTAGTGCCTGATCCTGCAAGGTGCTGAGTGCTGTCAGGAGCAGGCCCCTATAGACTACTTATTGCGGGAGCGAGAAGCAGAGCTGGGCCGGGGCGGCCAGCACGGGTGAAACTGCTGGTTCCATGCGATTGCATTCCTGTTTTCCTTCCTGCTTCGCAAGTGCAACACTAACGCTAAAGGAAACTAAGATATCTAAGCAATGCGTGTAAGAAAATGAAAAGCTAATGTGTTTGGACTAGCAAATCTTCCTGCAGCAATGGGAACTGAGCGTTAACATAATGGATGACAACTTTGTATTTTTTAAACTAGAACAAAAAATAATCATCGTTTATGAGATATTTATTAAACTCTTTTTATTATGAATAAGTGCCGCATGGTGCAAGGTATAGTTGCTTTTAGATGGAAACAATGGTTCAACCTAATTTAATTTATTTTGTAATGATGGATCTACTTATGTGCAGAGAGCCCACAAAAAACTCTATGCATCGCATAAGGGAAGGGGGGGGGTTAATTTGTACCCTTTTTGCTTCTATATGTTTCTAAAAAGGTCTGAAATTTTTTTCTTTTAAATTTCTACTTTTATTTTTACATTTAGGCTTGGATTCTCAAAGCTCAAGGGCCTGATTCAAAGGTAATTTACTCTGATAGCAGTCCCTTTGCTTTCAGTGACCACTCAACCAAGCCTTATGAGAATTAGGTGCCCCCTGGATGAATTGGGGGCAGTGAGAGAGGAGCAGCTAATTCCTTTAGATTCCTTTGAACATACCTAGGTCTTCTTTGCCCTGAAAAATCTTTCATACCAGAAGCCTAAAGAAAAGGTGACAAGAAAAAAACATGATTTAGAAAGCTTGACTCACTGATGGTGGGAGATCTCAGCCAAATTGTTAAAACCACTTTAGTCTTCTAAGTTATGCTGTAATGCCCACGGCGTCAGTGACTCTGATATTCGGGTACAAGACTTTCAGCTAGCGGAACCAACTCCTCCAGTGAAACCCCGCAGGAGCTGCCTTAACATCCCAAAAGGCAAGTTGGGATACACTAGCAAATCCTGTTTAGGCCTCTGTCCCTGAAAGAACCAAAACATAGTTCTCAATTTTAAAAGAAAGTCTTCCCCTAGTCACTTTTATGCTCTGTTTAGCCTTCAGCCTAGCAGATAGACACAGTAGTATTTTGGCAAGCAATCCAACGAAGGTGGACTGGAGCCTTCATCCCTGTTTATTAAGAATTTCCATTCAGGTTGAAACTCTGCTGGGATCTTTTTTCAAACCTCTGAATTCTGAGAGCTAAAATAAATGGAGCAATGAGAATTATTTAAAGGTAGACAAGGTTGTGCTACTTCCTACATCAAGACACTATGGAGAAAGGTATTACACAAGCTTTTTAAAAAAAATCCAAACAGAGGCAGACAAGAACAATTTTTTTACCTGCTTTTCAGCTAGGACAACATAAAAGAGTTCTAAAATTATTAAAATTCTTGACGAAAGGTTTTTTTTACAAAAATCTTTATGCTTTGAAACAATAAATTATTTCCTACTTTTTGAGACTTCGTAATATTAAAATACTTTGATTAGCTACAATAGAAGTAGAAGTTTGCAATGAAAAAAAACCTTCTGTCTCATTAGTGTGTCATACTAAGTGCTAATTAATTTACATCTAATTATAGTCGATGTATTTTTCAAGTGCAATTTCCCAGAACTATTTGTTTCCCACTGTGTTAATAAACTAATAGTTAGAAATAAGTCCTCATCTGTGTTTACTGTAATTAAGAATAAAATCATTCCCTTTAAAACCAGGAGTTAGATGTAGGCTGTCTTCTAAACTCATGTACATTGAACTGAAAGGTGACAGTGTGAGGTTTGATTTGCTCTTTGGTTTTGTCTTTCAATCATAATTTCCCAGTGAACGTGTTTAAAACCAACAATCTGATTCCAGCCAAAGCGTGAGGCTTTTGTAAAGCACGGGTCGGACCTCTAGAGAGGCATGTGGGGATGTTTGGACAATACTTTTACACTACGTCCACAAAACTTCTTGCCAAACGTTTCAGGCTGTTCCTCTTGGCCGCTGAGCCAGCTGACCACGCAGTCGTTTTCGTTCAGCAACTCTTGCCCTAGAGTCTGTGCTGATTTCCCCAGCTCTCTGCTCTCTGAGTGCAAGACGCTGAGATAGGGACACAGTGCCCTACTTCGGTCTGAGCCAGAGCATTTGCTCATTCTTGAACGGGCACATTTGAAAAATGGAATTTAGGCAGGGAACTATTCTTCGTGGTGTGATACACGGTCTGGACAGGGAACAAAGGCACGAGGAGATAACAGGGACCTGGACTTCAGTCCTGTAGGAGAATGAGTGACTGAGTTAAAGCTCCCATAAGTCATGGCCTATGTCAAATTACAGTGCACTATTTTGTTCAACCAAAGCAAAAAAATGTTGTTTCAGTTGAGATTTCCAATGAAAAAGCTCCTCCGAAAATCAGTCTTTTCCTGTGGAAAACTTTGATTCTGACAAAACTGAAAAACTTGCAGCATTCCTACGCATGAACAGCATCGTTCTCTGTGGCTAATCCATCTGAAATGAATTAGATTATTCTTGGACTTTGAAACCACTCAGTGATAGTTAAAAACAAAAATCATCTGTTCTTCCATCTCTCTCTGTTTCTCCCTGGACAGCATCTAATACAAATTAGCCTCAATTTCTGAATAAGGCCTGCAGATATCATCATCATATCATTAACAGTAATCAGTCTTTTGATATTATCCTATGATATATTATAATACACTATAATAGCAGACCTAAAAAGAAATGCTATTGGATCAGATTTGATTTTCTGAGAAATAAAGTTTCAGGTATATTGTAAGCTCTCTCTTCCTGGTTGCTTACAGAATAGTAGTAAAATGAGAAATTACTTCATTTGCCCATATTTCTAACAATAAACTATTTTTATATTTCCTTTTCTTTCTTTATGTATCACATTTCCACAAGGGCTAATATACCATGTCCCTTGAGGCTACATTTCTGTCTGCAGTTTGAAAATGTTATTTCCACTGTGCTTCAGTTCTACCAGTATAATCACAAGTGTGTATAATGTACTTAATCCTTAATTTTTAAATAAACCATTTTAAATGTATTCTTTTTTGTGTGGAAAAGGGTATGTAGATTTTAACTCCCAGATTCTCTGAGCCACGAGTTCTGTGTTTATTTTTTCACCTTTCTGCCTATTTTGATTGCAGCCGAGAATGTTATCAGAAGCCAGTATATGAGAGAAAAAAAATATTCTTGTGGTGTCCCACAGACCAAGAAATCGCCAAGACAAACTATCTTCACAACATTTCCAGGCTTTTGGGTAGGAAACTAATGGAAAAGCTTTCTAGTTTCTGAAAGCTTTTCCAACTGCAACTCATCCCACACGAGATGCGCTCAAGAGCCCTTTATTAATACAGTAGCGTGTTTGCAGTAGTAAAGGAAATGCTCATTTGTGACCGTTTCACTGGAAGGCAACGTAGCAGCTGTGATGACGTGCTAACATGCCATGTACTTTCCAGAAATGTTTGCTAATTTAATGTGCCTCTGTTTTAGGTGCCCGGTTTAGAGACAGTTTGGGTCTTGGCTGCCAGGGGCACTGCAAGTCACCAGCAACAAAAATAAGTCAGTCTTTTGAAGTCTTAGCCCCAAGGCTGTGTTTTCCCTCCCTCTTACAGGGTTTCATGTGAGTTCTTTTCTGATCATCCTTCTCTCCCTGCTCTTGCTCGCTGCCTTCTGAAGAAAGCCTCCCTCCTCTACCCTGCATGGTGAAGCTCTACAAAACCGTTGCTCTGATCACGATTATAAAATCCCCAGCTGTACAAACGGCGCTGAACACGGTCAGGAGTTCTGCAGCCTCTCTTCATTCTCAAACATCCTGAACCATTCATTTATCAGAGACAATATTTCTTCTTCAAATACTTCTTTTAACTGTACCTTCGCGTTTCCTAAGCATCCAGATTCTCTTTAAAGATGAGGAGTGCATGTGTATCTATATCTATCTCCCTCTCTCTCTCTCTACATATGATCAATTGGCATGTCGGGAGGGAGGCAGGGGATTAATCTTTTTAAATGCCTCCACACCCAGTAGTCAAGCCGTTTAAAGCTCCAGCCCAAAGCTTGTCTGCCTGGCCTTGAACTCAAATAAATAAAGGCTGTTCCCACATTGCTGAGCAAGGCTGTGGGTAAACAGTGATCCTCTGAGTTGTGGCTACCCTGCTGCGAACAGAAATAAATGAGATGTATCAGAAAGGGAGCTTTTTTGAGCCATGATGGAGTTCTGATGGCTTTTCTGTTTGGGAAGTGGAAAAGCCTCCGCTGAGGAGGATGTGGCATTTCCTTGGGAATGAGAAAAATAGTCAACATAGGAGGAGGTGCTGAACCTAAAAGGGAACGAAGAGTGCTCTGCACCTGTCTGTGAAACAGCTCATCTTACAGCAGCGGTCAGTTTGCTTCACCAGAATTAAAGAGACCACTTACCAAATAAGCGGGCCAAGAAAGGCTCTTCATTATTTTAGGAGAACGAACCTGCAGCTAAAACGTTCAGGCAGATAGAAGTAGTCAGTCCTAAAGAAGTATTGCCAGCACTGTGTTCAGAAGGGCTGCAGAGCTGGTGCCAAGAAAAGCCCTCGTTAGGTTGAACGGGTGTATCTGCCCCTGGTTATCCGAAGGAGTCTATTAAAAGAAAAATACACACACGCGGGGGCCCACCACAGCAGTGTGAGGTAGGCTAGGAAGCTTGACTATTGCTAAGGAGATCCCATTTTAAGTAGGCTGCTTGTATGGCTGATTTGCTGAAAATACATGTAAGCTGAGAGCAGACCAGGCCCAATCTTTGCCGCTCTAAATAGCCCTGAAATTTGGAGAGGTTTAGATTCAAATTTTGCGGCGCAGGCCCTCTCTAAATCTGCACTAAAGTAGTTTAAAAACATAGAAATATCACATAAAGAAAATAAGACAAGTGCCCTGGATTCAGCAGACTGTGGGGGGCTTTCCCTGCACGGCGCTGCATTAGCTATTCTCTTTCACATCCCCACACATGCTCAGTATGAATTTCCCTTCGTGTCAGCAAGGGACACAACAGACATTTGAAGACACAAGTCTAGCGACTTACTTGCTGCAGTATGTCAGCCTAGAGAAATGACAGCCCCTGCCAAAATGGATTATTCTTCATTTTAATGCATAAAAATAATTACTTCAGAGGCCTGTGCAAATATATAAAGCCAAAGAGATTGGCCCCCACAAATCCCTCTAATCAGGGGTGGTTTGTACTTACCTGATAATGGTCTTTCACATAGTTCTGCAAGAAAGGAACCGCAGAATTCGATTAACCTGGTTGTGGTAAATACTGGGTCTGTTCTGGAAGAAATATAGGAAAGCACAAATTTTGGGGAACAGACCCAAGCCAACGACTCTGCTAGGGACAAAAGAATGCCATAGCTGATCTTGAAACATTTAGCATTTTCTGCAGGAGAGAAACACAACCAAACACAACCATGTCTCTCACACTCACTGCTGCTAAAGTGCAACTAATTATAACCCTCCCTGCTTCCCAACAGGTCCTCATTAATACACTGTTTATATTTCATGGGATATTGATTTTTAAATGTAGCTCCTTGCCAGCTGAAGCAGGGAGCCTGCTGGAACCGTTCAAGAGAGGACTATATACGGCAGTCTTCTAGATCCGCAGGCAGGTTTTGGAGTCTTCTGCTCCTCTGGAAGTCAGTTGTGCTTCTGCATTTGTTAGACACTCACCCAGCCACGGAGCGGACAGTAGAGGCCACCAGGCCCCCTAGGGAGGCCAGTTAAACCTCCAAGGTGGGATAAAAGTTCCATGTAGATTTGGGAAGGGGGCTAAACCTTTTGGAGACAAGGCAAGTCTTTCAGAGCCCACACAGCACATTCTGAAGCCAGGCGGCTTCACCAAATCCCTGCCAGCTGTCCCCAAACACACCCTGAGGCTCTGGCACAAAGAGCAGAAAGCAGCACCTGAGTAGCGTGGGTACGTCTGCTCTTCTAACACATGGAACACTATCCCCACAAAGCATTTTCTCTCTCAGGACCACTGGCTCCAGCTTATGTTTTTAGGCCAGGGACAATGACTCACCTTAGCCTAGGTGACTTTTCAGCCTCCAGGGAAGCCTCTACATCTTGCACTGAAGTTCATCCAAGCTTTAGCTTGCTCACAGTCTCGGGTCCTCTCTGCAGAGGAGAGAGAGGGAAGGATGACTTTTCCCTTTATCTTTTTGCTTTAGTGTTTTCCTGGTTATTATTAGAAAAATAAGAACAAAACAAAACTGGGGGGAACTTATCCAGATTGTAGTACTTGAATGAGAATAGAAGACGTGATTCTTGCCAACACTGGAGGAGACACAAAAACCAGCAGTAACAAAAAAATTAATGAGTTCCCACCCTTTCAGTCCTTACAGCTTGTAATTAGTCTAAAGTGTGATCATTAGCAGCTGCTTTCTCAGCAACCAAAAACTTGGTTGCAGTTGCTTTCTCAGCAACCAAAAGCTTGCTTTGTGCCCGCACTTGAAAACATGCATTTCCCATGCTCAACTTGCTGAGGACCTGCGGAGTTTCTAGTGTCAAGGAAGTAAAGTCAAGATGCAACTCAAAATCGACTGATGTCTAGTGAAATTTAGCAAGAGTCTACTTTAAAAGAGAAGACATTACATTTTTAATGCATTCTTTTTCTGTTTTAAAGTCTGTTCCCTTTAGGCTTTTCTGCTTTCATGAGAACTCTTGGCTCTGGGTAAGAAAACAGAAATGTAAGTCTCCATAATATTTCTCTATGTGTGACATGATTGCAGTGGAGAGGTCTCTACTTGGTTGGACAGTCCTAACTTGCATCTTCCCCCCTTAGCAACAAGACAGAACGGGCTTTGCAGAACAGCCTCTTGGTCAGGTCCTTCTGAGGGCACGTTTTAGTGCTCCAGTCTTGGATCTGCCTCTTTGCAAAAATAGAGAAATCAGTCTCTGTTACTCTTAGCATAAAATTTCCTTGCAAACTGATATAAACGACTCGCTCTATTCAGCGCCTTTCTCAGCGGAGCTGTAAGCAGGTGTTGTTTGGGACTGTTGTGCCTTCACCCTGATCGAGTCACGCTGTGCTCTGCCATGGGCTGAATGAGGGCCCGCAGCCAACCTACGCTGGCTATTTCCATGCTCATGGGTCCGGTTTCTGCACAGACTTTTTAAATATTTGGGAGTCCTAAATATGAGAATCCTTTCTGAATTGTGTGGCTGCCAAATTGTACATTTGTTCTCAAGACCTCTTCAGCTGCTTCAATTTGATCCCCTTTTATACTTGATATTCAAGGGTGGGGCGGTTTCTAACCTTTTTCGAAGACCAGCTCTGGAGAGATTTCCAAAAAGCAAACTCCGTTGGGGAACAACTCTTCAGGGAAGAGGTCACAGACTCGATTCAGACTATTTGACTCACTCCAACCATGGTGCGAAAGGGGCTCATACCCTGGCTTGTGCTGGTTTCTGCTAGCTCCTGAAACCCTATGAACATCGCAAGGGCTCTCTGATGGTTTGAAGCCCAAACCCTGCACATGGCACTCCCTGAAGGAGGATATGAGCTCTCAGAGCAGCATCGAGCCAGGGCAGAGCTTCTGGACAGCGTGGTTTCACTTCTCTACAGCTCGCTGGTCGCCGTCCACGGCAGTGGAGCAATCCGCGCTAGTGGGCTGCAAACCAGCTTCCAACCCTTTTTCCCCCAGCTTAGCGCTTTCGATCAGCGAGTCTAAAGCACTCTGCTGACGTTTTACCGCCGCATGGTGAGCCGGCTTCCTTTGGACGTGCCGCTGCCCCCAGGTCCCCGGCCCCGCTCCTTGTCTCCTTCCCCTCCTGCCTGGTGGGTTTTCCCTTCGCTTCTTCCTGCGGCCATCACTGACAGGCAGATAATTCTTTTAAATCCTATTTCAGCTACAGTTATTTTGGATCATTATTTTTCTAACTCACTATTTTCTTTCCATTGCCCGCAGCTCCCTTCTGCCTTTAGTTCATTGCTTCAAACTGTCCTCCTTAATTCGAGACGACACCGCCGTACCTTTTATCTTGACACTGAACCGGGGTGTTCATGAAACAGCGCTGGAGTAGCTCTGCCATTATCTTGACACGATAACATGATATTTGCAGATTTCCGCTGACATTTTTCAAGCCATCGTCTTGACGTTCAGGTGCTGTCGCCGTCACCGGTTCGACATCGCAAGGGTAATGTCACCCCCACAGCGGCCTCGGCGTTGGCGTTATCAGGAAATTACTTTCCTGATCAGCTTAAAACATCAAAGGCAAGGAGAGAGGCCGGGGACATCGAGGCTTCGGGGCAGGGGAGTCGCTGCTCGGAGAAGGGGGGGTCTGCGGGCAGCGCCGCGAGGGCCGGGCGCTGGCGTGCGGTGCGCCTCGCGCCGGAGACGACGCAGAACGCCAGGGCTGGACAGAGAGGAGCCGACATCGGCCACAGAGGGCAGTTTGAAGGAGCCAGCGATACCAGTTACGATGAGCACCGAGGCAAACCCCGGCTGGTGGGAAACGAAGAAAGCGCTCCGGAAGGTTTAGGATGAGAAAAATGATTCAAAAGGCGCAAAAAAACAGGTGTGAGAAAAGCAATTTAGTGATTACGCCTTTTTCTTTCGGAAGAACCGGAGTGAGCTGTGAAAGCAAATCAACTTCACTCAGTAGTTCCCACTGTAAAACCAGAAAAAGGGTCGGCGGGGCGGGGGGGGAGAAACGCCAAACGGTTTTGTTCCAGCGGTCTCAAAGCGCAAAGCGTCTCGCGCAAACTGATGAAATACGTACTTGCCGTACTTTATACATCGAACTTTGGGTATGACAAAATACAGCTCTCAAACCATCAGCGGCTTCAGAAGTGAACCAAACCGTTTTCCTTCGGCCTGAACAAGACATTTGGGTTAATTCAAAAAAATAAACGTTCTCGTTAAAAAGAAACCACACCCCCCCCAC